TTAGTGTTTTTAAACCTCCATTACCCACAGAGTTCCCCATTGTTCCCAGATTGTTGTGCTAGAGAAGATCAAGTAGCTTTCTCTAGAAGTTTGCTCTTAAGTTTGACACATCCAGGCAACTGCTAATTGCTCTGTATCCTGGCCATAATTCTCAGCCAAAATCACAGCGGAGGCGCAGGTCCCTTGCTGAGATGCTGTGCCTGCCCGTCTCTGGTCTGTTTACCTGTTCTTCAGAAGAAAGGCAGAGTGGTTTGTAATGAGTTGCAGTCTAACTTGAAGTCCCCTTGCGGGCCATCCTGCAAATCAGTCACCTTGCCCAGGCATGAGCCTAAAATTCAGTAGGCACGGATTATAGGTGTGATTTGTCTATTCCGAAAGCCTTAATGGCAAGCATTCTGGTGCCTCTCCCTGTACCCTTGAAGATTGCTGTGTCTCACCTTTATAAGGCCCGTGACACAGGAGCCCCGAATTCCTTTAGGGCTGTGTTCCACACATCTTAGATTTCTGACTCCCAGGCCATATGTCGTCTGATCTTTACAGTCCTGAGAGTACGTTTGCTATACCAAAACAGGAATCGGGAGCAGCAGAGTTGAAGTGACTGACCTGGGGATACAAGAGGGATGTGGAACGAAGGGGGATCCGGGGCGAGGAGCTTTGGATCCAGCCGGGAATAGTGTTGCTAGGGTTCCCAGGAGAAGCAGGCCCGAGAGGGGAAGCGCTTACTCTGAGGAATCCACTCATGCTTGTGAGGGCCGGCAAGTCTGCCGTCTGCAAGGTGGGTTAGCAGGCGTGCGACCTGGGGAAGAATTAATGTTGCAGTCCAGAGTGTGCAGGCAGAGTCCTGGAAACCACGTCAGTCTTTCAAGGCCTTCAGTTAATTAGATATAAACCTGCCTCCATTTTAGGGGTGCTGGGATTCAGATAAGTGTCCCCCAAAGTTCCAAGTGTTAAAAGTGTGGTCCCTACATGTGGTCTATTGGGAGGTAAAGAGAAGCCTCGTGGCAGCCTTCAGTGGGGGGGGGGTGGCGCTGTCCCGGGGGTGGGTGATGGGACCCTGGCCTTTTCTCTCGATTCCCACCACGGTGTGCTGCCTCGTGACAAGCCCGAAACCTCTAGATCTGCACACCAAACCTTTTCTCTTCGCAAGGGCATGTTGTATTACTCCATGTCCATGGATTTAAATTAAATGTTAATCACGTACTTAGCCTGGTATAGCAGCACACACCCGTATACCAGCACTTGGGAGGCTGAGGCAGAAGGATTGTCCCAAGTTTGAGGCCAGCCCAAACTACATTATGAATTCAAAGCTGACCTGCTCTCCATAGCAAGACTATGTCCCAAAACAACAATACCTTCACAGCAATATCTGTGCTAGACAGAGCAAACAATAGAGCACTGTATAGCCTATAAGTTGTTGGGTGCCCCATGATTGGAAAGGATGGGTTGCCAGGTATGGTGGGGCACACCTGTAATCCCAGCACTCAGGAGGCTGAGGCAGGAGGATTGTTGCAAGCTTCAGATCAGCCTGGGCTACAAAGTGAGCTCAAGGCCAGCCTGAACTGCATAGCGAGACCCTATCTCAAAAAGACCAAAAAAAAAGCGGGGGGGGATGGACTTTAGGGAATATGGCAGGTAGTCTGGTGCCTTTGGAGAATGCGCCTTGGAAGCCAAACACTGGGGTTAATAGAATAGTGAAGATTTCAAGAACAGTTGGATAGACTGGGCTCTATTTAAGCTTCTGTGGAGCAGACTTTGTACATAGAACAGTAGGCAGAAAACAGAGACACAGTCCACAGTCCCTGCCCTTCAAGGAGTTTTGAATCTAGAGCAATCTGATTTGTACATAGACAATAAGACAGATTTCGAAGCGGGGCGTGGTGGCTCATGCCTGTAATCCCAGCACTTGGGAGGCTGAGGTAGGAGGATTGTTATGAGTTTGAGACCAGCCTGGGCTACAAAGTGAGCTCAAGGTCAGCCTGAACCACATAGCAAGACCCTGTCTATTAAAAAAAAAAAAATTAAATAAGACAGATTTTGGCCAGTCCCATTACCAGGCAGTAAGCCAGGTACCATAGTCAGGTGAGGTTTACAGGGAAAGGAAGGAGGCAGACCTGCCCTCCATGGCTCCATGCCTAGTGAGCAGATAACTGTAGGAGCGGGAGGTAAGTCCTACATACCACAAGGACAGACAGAATGTAGTGGGAATGCAAGAGGGTCAAGAGAAGGGACAGTTCTTTGGGAATAGGCACTGGCCTAGTGACTGACAAGAGAAAGGGTTAAGACTGTATTCAGAAAGTGTTGCAAACCAGGCGTGGTGGCGCACACCTGTACTCCTAGCACTCGGGAGGCTGAGGCAAAAGGATAATTGTGAGTTCAAGACCAGCCTAGACTACAAAGTGAGCTCAAGTCCAGCCTGAACTGCACAGTGAGACCCTGTCTCAAAAATACAAAAAAACCTGGCAAGTGCAAGGTCGTGAGTTCGATTCCCAGTACCGGGAAAAAAAAACAAACAAACAAACAAACAAACAAACAACAACAACAAAAAAATACAAAAAAAAAAAGAAAGTGTTGCGGGTTGCAAATATAGCTCAGTGGTAGAGAACTTGTCTAGCATACACAAGTCCCTGAGTTCAATCCCAGTACCACAAGAAAGGAAAGAAAGAAAGAAAGAAAGGAAGGAAGGAAGGAAGGAAGGAAGGAAGGAAGGAAGAAAGAAAGAAAGAAAGAAAGAAAGAAAGAAAGAAAGAAAGAAAGAAAAGAGCGAGCTATTCAAGAACTACAGGTGACCCAGCACTCAAGAGGCTGAGGCAGGAGGATCGTTCAGAGTTTGAGACCAGCCTGGGCTACAAAGTGAGCTCAAGGCCAGCCTCAACTGCATAGCACAAGACCTTGTCTCAAAAAAAAAAAAAAAAAAAAAAACCACAGGTGAGGCGGCGGTGGTGGTACACACCCATAATCCCACCACTCTGGAGGCTGAGGCTAGAGACAGTGCAAATTCAAGACCAACCTGGACTACAGAGTGAGTTCAAGGCTAGCCTAAGCTACATAGTGAGACCCTGTCAAAGCAAAACAAAACACCACCAAAACATAAACAAAAACAAGCCGGGTGTGGTGGCGCACGCCTGTCATCCCAGCACTCTGGAGGCTGAGGCAGGAGGATCGTTGTGAATCTGAGACCAGCCTGGGTTACAAAGTGAGCTCAAGGCCAGCCTGAACTGCATAGTGACACCCTGTCTCAAAAAGGAAAAAAAAAAGCAAACAACAACAACAAAAAACAACCACAGATGCTCAATGTGACCGCAACAAGGGAGCCAAGGCATGGAGAGGGAGTCTGTTGGAGCTGCTCAAGTGCTGAGGAGTCAAGATTTCATCCTGGGGGCCAAAAGTGGCAAATGCCATCAGCTTCCCTGGGACAGCTACCTCTCACTGTGAGAGTCTATTAGTGATGTTTCTTCCTGAGTTGGTCCCTTAATTTTTCTCAACATGCTTACTGTCCTGTAAGTTAAAACCTTTTTGTCTTTTTTTTTTTTTTTTTT